AATAATAATAATAATAATAATAATAATAATAATAATAATAATAATAATAATCGAATCGTTACGAATCGATCAACGATAACTATAACAAGTGAAAGAAAGGGACAGTAAAAGATAGAAAGATAGGAAGAAAATAATGGTAGATCGCTACATCAGTGACTGTATGGTGTAACAGTAGCAACAGCAGCTGAATAGACTTCAATAGTAGTAGTTAACGGTAGCTGTAGCAATAACTTGTATTTTGGACTTAATTCTCATGTACAGACTTAAGTTCTTTAATCTGTTTAATAAGATACGCCTTCTCATCATTGAACTGTTCATCTTCGGAACGATCAGTGTGGAAGCGCGTCAGAAATTCGATTAACTTTTCCTGGTTGCGCAATAATATATCTAAGATTGGTTTCGGTTTATTTGGATTCGCCACAAACACCTAACAAGTTGTAAAGAAATTTTTCTGGTTATTTAACTAAATCTAATTAATAATAACGATTACTGAACCACGTAAATATACCTTGAAAACATGAAACGCTTCAAACTGAATATTACGTGACTTTTCTTTGAGCATATTCATCATGAGTTTCAAATTATCAGGATTTGAAATGTACCGTGTCATTACCTGAAATTTGAAAATTGTCACATTAACGTGCTCTTAAAAATGTGTACATGTATGCGTATACAGAAATATTATTATTTAATAATTATACATACAGTAAAATTGTGTCTATCGAGTAAAAGTTCCCCTAGCAGTTTCAAACTTTGTCGTCGCGTAACATAGTTTTCTGAATTCAATAACCTTTGATAATGAGAGAAAACTTTATCGTAATTAATTTCTAAAAATTCAGCGCTCAGTATTTTATGCCTGGTAAGTAATTCCTAAAAATCAACGTACCGGATACACCAAGAGTATGCTTTACTTTAAGTACGATATATCATGCGCTTATCATCGCTTACTTTGAACGTAGAAAACGCGTCGGAAGCTATGTCGAAAGTTGAAACTTCAACGTATCTGAAAAAATTGTAAAAGTCGTCCGAATAGATCATGATTTTTGCCAAGGCCTCATATCTTGCACATTCTCTTAACATAGTGCCACAGTTTAAAGCAATGTCTTGGTGTTCATATCTGCAATTATTGTACTCATAAATTACAATATTTCAATATTGTACTTTAAAAAGAAAAAAAAAAAACTTACCCAGACATAAGAGTAAACAATATTTCTGGTTTAGTACATATATATTCTACTGTTGGAGATCTGGTACCGATTTGTCTCCGTAATATATTATTAAATACTTGAGCAACATCTTTCTTTCCCTGATGAAATATATTACATTATATGACAAGTACAAAATACAGAAAAAAATTGGAAATTTTTAGGAGTTGGAAAATTATTTCATAAGCCATATTTTATTCATAATATGTTTTAATTATATTATAAATATGTTTAGACGTACCTCAAAATCTATGCGACTAAGATTTTGCACAAGTAAAAGCAACAAATTACTATTATACAATTCTTGTGCCAATTGGGCAACAACAATATCTGCTTGAGGCTCCGTTTCAGCTGTCCCATAAAGCATGTTTTTTATATGTACCAAGTTTTTACTGACATCCTCTTGTGCCTAAAAATTAATGTATTGCGTCATAGAAACCGAAATATAGCCTCACAACATACCTTTTCTACCTTCTTATCACCACGTTCCAATGCATTTACTGCCTCCTTAAGGGCTTTCACCACCTCCGCCGGACTCTTTTGAGATTTTCCGAACAGAGGCATGTTTTTCACAATGTACAGACCTTGTGGAATATATAGAAACAACAAAAAATATGTTAATTCTCTTACTCTAGTAAATGGATTATATAAACTGTAATTAATATAGATAATATGTACCACTACGGTACGTAAGTATTATAATAAACTAGCAAAATACATAACTATTGCATAAATTCGAAAACAAAGAATCTATTTGAAAAATGCAATTTCAACGAAATATAATGAAATTGAACTGAAATGGTAACACTTTATAAAATTCAGACTAAAAAATTACGTGATTTAATTGCTGCTCTAGTAGTAAATTGCTCCAAATCTTGAATTAAAAAAGATTATGCATAGAATTGTTCATACTCCAGAATTATATCTTAATTTTCGTATATATGTTTATACAAGGAGTTTATCGCAACATGCATTCCCATTAAATATTTTATTCATGTATCAAAAGATTCGCAATAAATTACGCTAAACATATTTCTTCAGGTTATATCTATAGATGTAAATGTCAAATTTGTTACAGACTACGACCTATTATTATCAAACATGATTTTATAAATACTAATTTGTGTCTGTTCTCTTATTTCGAAAGTGCACATTTGATTTAACCTAAAAGATCTGACTTTCGTGATGTTGAATTCAAAAATCCGTAAAGTGATTTGAAAAATCACTTATTGGATCGGGAAAACACTGCAAGAAATATGCCGAATGAAATAGTTGCAACAAAAATGGAGGTCGTGTATCATGTCGATCAACGATACAATGACGACAGAAAGGTTCAGGTAGAAAAAAAAAGGAGAAAGAGAGAGATCAACAGAGCAACATAAAATTTTTATGTATGTTTGTAAAAAAGATGAATGATATGAAACGAAAATTCAACAAGAATCCATAAGAGATCGAGTTGCGACTTGCTGGGATGAGAGTTCGTCGATAGAGATAATAAACGTTTAACCTGAGCGTTTCAATCACCTTGCGAAAGCCTTAAAATAATCTTACCATTCAGCCAGACTCTGAACGAACCCTCAGCCTCAGTTCAAAGTATTCTATGCGATTCTTTTAAAAGCACACATATAAGGCAACTACTTTTCAATTCAATATTTTGTATTGAAAACACGATTTACTGTATTCTGACAATTGTGTTGACAACAGACTCCGATTCCGTGCAATGCAATACAGTTTTCTTTAAAGGACGCTGCAAATAAATTATTTGTCTTTGAAAACTTTTGACTAATTGCAAGATTCTGTGACGTCTCTTATCAAAATTCTTTCACGACTAACGCCGAATCTGCAAAAACATTATTGGTCTTGGCTATCTAGAAACTTTCGTTTCAACCAATTGGAAAGCTTTAAAAATAAAATCGCATTTCAATTCGCTTAATTGATACGTGAATCTACTGTTTGAATAAACTAATTTTTATTCTATTTTTTTGTAGCTATATGTAATTAAATAATTTTTCTGAAAAAAAGACGAAAAATACATTGAAAAATTAATCAATCGTGAGAAATTCCGAAAACATCTTGTTCAATGTTA